TTGGGCCTCTGGCCACCCCCACTGGGTTGACCACAGTTTGAGTCTCAGACCTGGTGGCTTGCTTTCTCACTTTCCTTCTCTCTGTGTGTCTGTCTTTCTCTGGTAAAATTAAAATGAGAGAATGAATAAATAAAATTTATTCATTATCATTATTTTTCAATTTTTTTAAAAAGAACAATTTATTTTATTATTTTATTTTATTACTGTTCATTATTATCAGAGAGAGAGAGAGAGAAAGAGAGGAAGAGTAAGAAAGCAAGCCACCAGGTCTGGGACTTGAACCACAGTCAGCCATGTGGGAGTCCAGCACCCCAATCACCATGCCACGTGCCAGCCCCTATTTTGCAATTCTGAATAGAGACAGAGAGAGAGAGCAAGCTGCCAAGTCCAGGATTCAAACCACGATCAGCTACGTGGAAGTCCAGCACCTTTAACCTCCATGCCACCTGACAGCCCCAGTTATTGCTTTTTAAAGCCATCTGACCCACGGCAAAAGTCTATTCTTGGCAAGTTTGGATTTGGTTTCAATTTTCTGTTCACAAACAAACATGATTATATCTAGCGAGAAATGTTTGTGATGGAAACCATCAGCTCGTGGTAAGCTGTGGTAGCAATGTTGCTTTAGCTGCAAATGGAAAATGGATCAACCTTGGGCCATTTTGAGCTGAGTCCTCGGTGGCTGAGTGCAGGGTACGAATCCAGGCCCCCGCAGCTTGAAAGACAGCTGGTGCACGTGTGTGCATGTATGCGCGCCCCGAATCCCAATAGGATGGAGGGACAGAAAAGGAACTGCAGCATGACCACGCGCCAAGGGAGGCTTTCTGTCTCTGTCTCTGGTGAGCACCTGCACCCTTTGACAAAAAAAAAAAAAAAAAAAAAGGATCAATATGTCTAGGGAAACCGTGAAGCATAGACATAAATCTGCATTAATGCAAAAATTCAGGTTACATATTTATTCTTTTTCTGGAAATAATTATTTTATTTCACTCTTACGTATTTATTTATTTTAATTTGACCAGAGAAGGAGAGAGAAAGAGAGAGAGAGAGAAGTGAGAAAGCAAGCCGCCAGGTCCAGGACTCAAACCACGGTCGGCCATGTGGGAGTCCAGCACCCCTAACCACCACACCACCTGCCGGCCGCCATATTTATTCTTACACAAGTAGTAGCTACTATCAATAACTTAAAGCAAGCAAGCATTTTTGTTTTCTACCTCTTAACCAAACAAAAATACACACAATATGGCATTTTCACCAGGCTAGACTAGTGTTTAACATTTCATGTGAGAATGTACTATAACCCTTTCTTGAGCAAAATGACCAGGACACGAACAAAACCATCTCTGGAGAGAAAGTGTTTAATACGCATGTTTTCTTTAATACGTCATTTCTTTTTCGCCTCGTAATAGAACACGTGCATGTGAGTCGGGGTGGCAGAGATGAGCACCCTGCAGAGGGCCCGGTCACACAGCAGTGAGCTTCCTCCAGGCCTCCCGCCAGGTCCCGGGTGCACGCGAGGTGCCTGGAGTGTTTCAGGCTGACCGTGCCGAGCACTGGAACTGCAGCTGCCCAGCAGGACCGAGCAGCACTTTGCTGCACCATGGAGACCACCCAGGCATTTCTCAGTCTGTCTGTCTGTTTTGCCACAGGACACACATGCTCACTGAAGACAGAGAGGAAAAGTGAGAAATCAGCAGCCCTCCCAGCCCGGGGGAGATGGCCGCACAGCAGTCCTTCTCCTCCACTCTCAGGACTTCGGGGCATGCACACCCGCACCCAGCCTGATCTTCAAGCCACTGGGTCTGAGACTTGAACTGTGGTTAATCACGTGGGAGTCTAGCACCCAAACTACCACACTACCTACATTTTTAAAGAAAGAAATCCAGGACCAGCAGTAGGCATAATGGCTATGTCACCAGACTCTCATGTAGTCGACCGCAGTTCAAGTCCCAGACCCGGGGGCTTTAACTCATGTGAGGCACGTTTGCATGTGTGCCCAAGATCCCGAGAGGAGAATGGAAGAGAAGGGATTGCGGCGTGGCCAACCCCCCTGGGGGGTGATTTCCCGCTTTCTGTCTCTCTCTATCTTGCTGGCACATGCACGCGCCCTATAACAAAAAACTCTCAAAAAAAAAAAAAAAAAAATCTCGGGGACAGCAGGTGGTTGAGGGCCCCGGACTCCACCATGGCCGACCATGTTCAAGTTCCAGATCTAGTGGCTTGTTTTCTCGCTTTCTCTCTCTTTCTCTGTCCCTCTCTGGTCAAATTAAAATAAATAGAGTTAAATAATTCTTTGGAAAAAAAAATCCTGTAGTAGGAAATAAGGCATTCATTGCCTTTGCCTAGAAGGCTATATAAATAATTATCTGTCAAATTTATCTGCACAGCTCACAAATAGCTTCTTCTTGGAAACAATAATTCGAAGTTTCAGTTCTTGGGCCAGCAGACGGTGTGGTGGTTATGGGGCTAGACACTCCCATATGGCCGACCACAGTTCGAGTCCTGGACCTGGTGGTTTGCTTTCTCACTTTCCTTCTCTCTGTGTATCTGTCTTTCTCTGTTCAAATAAAAATGACTGAATGAATAATTTTTTTAAAAAAATTAAATAATTCTTTAAAAAATAAAAATTTCAGTTCCCAAAAAGTTCTGAAAGCCTCAAAATTTTCTGTCTCTTCTTCTCTCTCTCTTGCCCTTAGGCACATGTGCTAGCCAGAGAGAGATAGGGAGAGGAAGAAATTACCCCCAGAGGCGGGAGGCCACATCACACCCCTTCTCCAATTCCTTCTTACGACTGGGCACACGCACACAGGCCCATCCTTTTCAAGCCACCAGGTCTAGGAGCTGAACTGAGCAGTTGGCCAGGCCACCCCCTGGCCCCGTTCTCTCTATTTACTTTATGAAAGAAAGAGAGACACATTCCACGTACCTGCATTGGGTCCTAGGACACTACAATGTCCCTGCCCAGCTCTGACCAGCCAGAGGTGAACTGAGGACCTGAAGCCCAGGCCGCCACGGCTCCAGCACCGCTCAGACCGGGGCTCCGGCGCGGCTCAGGAGTGCCCACGGCTCGCACAACCACAGCGGGCTCTGGCTCACTTTTCTCTTCACTCACAGGCTGTATTACTGCTTCATGTCATATCACTATTTCTGTCTTCTTATATTCTCTGCAAACACTTATACCAATCCCTCACTAGGATCTATTTCAGTGTTCCTAGAAGGATTTTCTCTTCTTTCTGCATTCTTATTTTTTTGAAAGTTCATTTTTTTCATAAGAATTAGACCAAGAAAAGGAGGCAAAAAGAGGCAAGCACTCCCAAGAAGGTCCTCATGCCACTCACCTCCGGTATCAGGTGGCCCAGATCTCGGGCACATGTGTGCCCAGTGCTCCTGGGAAGGTCCTGGGCTGCAAACCCAGATTCTGGCACGTACCCACTTGTGTTATCACTATACTGCCCCGACTCTGCATTCTTTTCTTTCTTTCTCTTTCCTTTTTTTTTTTTTTTTTTTTGTTTTTGCTATAGGGTGCAGGTACACACCAGAAAAAGACACAGAGAGAGAGAAACAAAGTGAGAAATCACACCCCTGGGGAAATGGTCACACCATAATCCCTTCTCCTCCAATATCCTCTTGGAATCTAGGGCATGCACACACACACATACACATAATATTCTTCTTTTTTTTAGAATTACTTTATTTATTGTTATTATTATTTTTTTAACTTGCTATAGGGCATGTGCATCCACCAGAGAGAAAGAGAAAACACAAGCCACCGCGTCCAGGATATAAACCACAGCCAGCCACGTGGGACCCAGTGCTTTAACCGCCACAGTACCTGCTGGCTCAACTCTTTGCATTTGTTTTCAAACCAAGTCAGGCAGTGCCACTGCATACTTTCTGCTTTCTTTTTACATAGGAGTTCTACCCATCTAGGGACCAGCAGCTGGCGTCATGACTGTGTTGCTGGACTCCCATGTAGTCCACTGCAGTTTGAGGCCCAGACCCAGCGGCGTAAACTCACGCCGGGCGCATGTGCATGCGTGCCCAAGATCCCGAGAAGAGAATGGAGGAGAAGGGATTGCAGCGTGGCCATCCCCATGGGGGGGTGATTTCTTGCTTTCTGTCTCTTTGTCTCTTTCTGGCGAGTGCACATGCCCCTATAGCAAAAACCTCTCCAAAAAAAAAAAAGAGAAAGAGTTCTACCCATCTTGCCTTTACCTGAACCACCTTCCAGAGAGATGGGCCTCAGACTGTTCTAATCATGGAGTAACTCTTCCCATTGAGATTCTTTACCAATAGACCAAACGGCCTTTCTGGGAAATGCACCTGCACATTCTCAGCGGGGACCTGATGAACTCCAGTTAAGGTCATCTTCCCCAGCTCACCTGACTGATCTAGCCCATAGTTACTGACCATCACTGGAGCAGTCACCTAAGACATTCTGCTTTCTTGATTTCTCTCTTGGTCTTAGATTTTACAGCTGTAAGAGCACCATGTACTCTTTTTCTAGAACACTGTTCTTCTAGATCATTTGGCCCTTTCAAGGCCATGGCTGGTTTGGGTCAGGCCAGGGCCCTGGCTGCACTGTCTTGCTCCGATCCCTTTCCTCTAATCCGTCAGGACCCTGAGCACACGCAAGCGTGCCTGGCACATTTCAGGTCACTCAGCTGGGGATCTGAACCGGCAGTCGGCCATGTGCTGCCAGCACTGCAGTCTAGTACTCTACAGCCTGCCCACCTAGGCTGGGCCCAGAGTTTAAGATTTCAGAGTGCAAGACCAGCAGATAGTGTAATGTTTACGTTGCTGGACTCTCAACAGAGTTGAATGCAGTTCAAGCCCCAGACCCGACGGCTTAAAATTCAAGCTGGGTGCATAGGCACGTGTCCCCAAGATCCCAAGATAATAGAGAAGAGATTGTAGCGTGGCCATCCCCCTGGGGGGTGATTTCTCACTTTCTGTCTCTCTGTCTCTCCAGGGAACAAAGGCACCCCATAGCAAAAATCTCTTAAAAAATAAAAAAGATTTTAGAGCTACAGCAGTTTGGGGGTTGTGATTGGAGAAGGGGCCTGAAAGTAGGTAGCTGGGGTAGGGAACCGAAGAGCATTTTATGAAAGGCCTGTGATGTAAGCTGGCACGTCTAGGGCATCTCTAACTAACGAACAGACCTCGTCAGACCTACATGGACACAGAACGGCTCTCTACCTGCCCTTCACAAGCTTCCCTGTAGAGTTCCAGTTTCTGCAGCAGGTCCTCATTTTCGGCCTCACACTCAGCCATCTTCTTTTGATAATATTCCAGAAGCTCCTGGGAAGGACAGAGGACAGCCATACGATCTTCAACGGACGGCAAGGGGGTTGACTCCACGGAATCTGCCATCCTCCCCCAGCCAGAGGAGCCACTGACGCCAGAGGAAGCCCTGCGTTTGTCGACAGTTGTTAGCCTATGTGAGATCAGAAAGGCATATTCACAATTCTTATGAAACATTTTATTTTTCAAATAAAAAGGGGTTTTATATTTTTAAAGTGCTTAGAATCAAGGTGCACATAAATCTTTTCAAAAAGAATTATTTCTTTAATTTTATTCATTCATTCATTTATTTTAATTTGATCAGAGCAACAGACACAGAGAGAAAGAAGGAAGGTGAGAAAGCAAGCTGCCAGCTCCAGATTCGAACCGTGATCAGCCACGCGGGATTATCCAGCACCTTAACGACCACACCATCCGCTGGTTCTCAAGGTGTTCATAAATCTTAAGCGTGATGTTACAAATGAGTAATTTTATGAACCGCCTTCCACATTTAGGTGGTTTAAAGCTAGATTTAAATACACATTAGATGACCTTCTACATGTAGCCCAACAGAGTTGAAGTCACGGAAGCAGAGTAGGGCACTCGGGACCAGCAGACGGCGTAATGACTGTGTTGTCTGACTCCCATACGGCCCTTGCTGTGTGAGTCCTGGACCTGGAGGCTTGAAACTCACGCCAGGCACGTGTGTGTGCAAGCTCAAAATCCCAAGAGGGGAAGGGACCGTGGTGTGGCCATCACCCTCTGAGGAGGTGACTTCTCACTTTCTGTCTCTCTGCCCTTCTCTGTCTCTCCAGCAAGTAACCATGTCCTATAGCAAAAATCTCTTACCGAAAAAAGGGAGTAGAACAGTGTTGGGGAGAGGCTGCAGGATGAGGCGAGAAGGAACAGAGGTGTGTTGGTCAAAGTTTCAGACCGACAGGATAAACAGGTCGAGATCTACCATAGCATGTAACATGTACATAAGAAAACACATTTGGGACCAGCAGATGGCATAATGGTTACATCACTGACTCCCACATAGATGACCACGATTTGAGTCCCAGACCCATTGGCTTAAAGCTCAAGCTGGGTGCATGTGCATGCATGTCCAAAATCCAGAGGAGAATGGAGAAGGGACTACAGTGGCCATTCCCTATTGGGGGGCAATTTCTCACTTTCTGTCTCTGTCTCTCTAGTGAGCTAGCAAAAAAACTCTCTTAAAAACAACAACAACAGGGACCAGCAGTGGGCGTAATGCCTATGTCACTGGACTCCCATGTAGTTGACCATGGTGTGAGTCCCAGACCCGGTGGCTTAAACTCACGCCGGGCGCATGTGCATGCATACCCAAGATCCTGAGAGGAGAATGGAGGAGAAGGGACTCATGTCCTATAGCAAAAATCTCTCTCAAAAAAAAAACAAAAAAAAAAACCAACAACAAACTAAATTTCAGGGGCCAACAAGTGACACGGTGGTTAAGGCCCTGGACTCCCACATGGTTTGAGTCCTAGACCTGGCAGCTTGCTTTCTCACCTTTCCTCTCTCTCTGTCCCTCTCTGATCAAATTAAAAGTAAGAAAGTTAAGTGAAATAATTCTTTTTTCTTTTTTTTTTTTTGAGAGAGATTTTTGCTATAGGGCGCGTGCGCTCGCCAGACAGACAGAGAGAGACATAGAGACAGAAAGCGAGAAATCACCCCCCAGGGGGGATGGCCACGCCGCAATCCCTTCTCCTCCATTCTCCTCTCGGGATCTTGGGCACGCACGCACACACGCCCGGCGTGAGTTTTAAGCCACCGGGTCCGGGACGCGAACCGCGGTCGACTACGTGGGAGTCCAGCGACATAGCCATTACGCTAACTGCTGGTTCCCAATAATTCTTTAATAAAACAATAAATTAAATAATATAAGAAATATATAACTAAAATTCAAATGTTTCACCATAAAAGATAATGGGTGGGCAGGGTAATGGATGTCAGCTTAATTTAATCACGCTACGTCGCGTGTGTGTATATGAAAACATTACCCTGTACCCCATAATAAATGCACTTGTGATTTTCCAATAAAAATATTAATTAGCTTCTAAAAAATAAAACTTAAAAATTAAGGAAAAAAATGACATGTTAAAGACTAAAAAGATGCTTTGAAAATAAAGAGAATAGGGCCAGCAGGTGACATGGTGATTAAGGTGCTGGATATCGCACGGTCAACAGCTCAGTTCGAGTCCTAGATAGGACAGCTTGAAAAACACGCCAGGCCGGCTTGCATGGGTGCATGTGTGCCCAAAGAATGGAGAAGGGATTGCAGTGTGGTCATCCCCCTAGGGTCACTTTTCACTTCCTCTTCTGTCTTTCTCTGGCAAGCACATGCACCTTATGACAAAAAATAATAATAAATAAATAATAATAAAATAAATAAACAGAATATAAGCCAAGACCACATAGGAACGATGAGAAAATTTAATACTATAGGACCAGCCTGTGGCCCGCTGCTAAGAGTGGCTGGATCCCGCATGTCTGACCACACGGTGTGAGTCTTGGACTGACCTGGCAGCTTGAGAAACACACAGGGTGCATGACCCAAAATGCTGAAAGGAGGGAGAAATGGAGGCGGGACTGCTGCATCACCATTCCCCGAGAGTGTAGATTTCTCCCTCCTTCCTTCTCTCTCTCAAGGGAGCGCACACATCCTCTGGCAAATGTTTAAATATAAAATTCAGTACCATAAAATATACAATAGCAAGAACCACATCAGATCCTAACTGCTAGCAGCTCAGAGATTTGAACCGTATACACTAGCGCTAGGTGCTACAAATGGCAAAGACGCAGACCAAAGGCTAGACAGGTTTTCGTTTTCTGTTACGTTTTACATATGAGAAACTCAAGCTAGAGCGATACAGATTACAAGTCAGATGGTGCAGAAGCAGAAAACCTGTCCTGTGAAAATCAATCCAGTCTGGCCGTCTGCAACTTACAACCCAACGAAATAGAGAGCTGAGTAAAGAAACCTCAGACCAGAAGCCCAGAATCACAGTTATTAACTATAGTTACAGTTAACGAATGCAATTAATATACAAGCTTGCTTCTTCTAAAAAAATATTTAATTTTATTTTATTCATCTTTTTTTGTTTCATTTGACTCAAGAGAAAGAATGAGGAAAAGTGAGAAAGTGAGCCACCAGGTCCAGGACTCGAACTGCAGTTGGCCATGTAGGAGTCCAGCACCTCAACAACCATGCCACCTGCCGGCCCCCACAAGTAAGCATGAAGAAAACCTGTAATATTGTCTCAGTGGTTAAAAGCTCACAGTAGAAATACCATTATTATTTATTGTTTCACATTTTCAAAAGGGGATGCCTTATAACTGTGAAATAGGTTAACAGGAGAACTAAGAAGTACTTCTGAGAGTCTGCAGATGGGAACCATGGCACTGAGGGACTAAGGACACAACCGCTGTGAGTTGGTGGCAAATCAGAATCAGAAGTCCCATCTGGGGCCAGCAGGTGGCATGAGAGCTGGGGCTAGATCCCACATGGCCGACTGTATGGCTCTAGTCCTGGACTGTAGGCTTGTGAGCATGTCAGTCATGTATGCGTGTGTGCTGGGAAATCCTGAGAGAAGGACGAGAAGGGACCGCAACACGGCCACATCCCCTGGGGGATGATTTCTCACTTGCCCTCTGTCTGTCTCTCGCTGGTGAGTGCAAGTACCCTACAGCAAAATAAAAAATAAAACAAAAAAAAAGTCCCATCTGTGGCAACGGTTGCTTCCCGTGGAAGGCAGGACCCACAGGCACTAAGCCAGGTCCACTCACAGTGAATGCGTGCTGGCGTTACCTTCTAGCACGCACTGCCTGTAAAACCTGAACGCCTGTGAGAATACAGAAATTTTATATGTACACATAGCTTTTAAGAATTGCTTTATTTTATTCATTTATTGATTTAAATTGGCTCACTGAGGGATCGACTATGAAAGAGAGGAAAAGTGAGAAAGCAAGCCACCAGGTCTGGAACTCGAACCAGTCAGCCATATGGGAGTCCAGCACCCTTAACCACCACACTGCCCGCTGGCCCCAAGAACTGACATTTAATATAGTTCCAATCAAGATCGGGAACATAGGCCAGCAGGTGGCATGGTGGTTAAGGAGTAAGCCAGCACATGGCTGATTCCACGGTTTGAGCCCTAGAGTGGGCATGTTGAAAAGCACGTGCCCGATACATGTGCATAGGTGCCCAACACCCCGAGAGAACACTGGCGAGGGATTGTGGAGGAGCCATTTCCTCTGGGGGGGGGGGGAGGATTTCTTACTTTCCCTCTCTCTGTGTTTCTCTCCAGAGATCATGAGCCCTTTGGCAAAAACCTTAAAAAAAAATCTGGGAATTTGCTTCTAAAACCTTTTTAGCTCCAAAGCTAACTTGGACTAAGGCTATCGAAGCTGATTCCTTATTTCAACTACTCAAAACAAGCAAATTTCTTACTTTCTGCAGACAGGAGTGTGTATCGGAGTAAAGTTCATGCTGTCTTTCTCGCACCTGTCAAACATACAGAAATTCAGAATGAGGGGCCGATGGCAGGAAAAACAGTCTATCTACAGAGTCCCCCTCCACCAACACATTTACCTCTCAGAATACGCTGTTTCCAAGTGTAGTATTCCTTAAGGCAGTTCCAAATCCCGAAACTTCAAGCCTGCTGAATTTTCATAAGGTACTGTCTCACTATTTTCAAATAAAATCAACATGACATTGAATATTTAGATGAAAAACGTTTCCTTAGTATGAACGTTATGTACAACAACATAAACACAAACCTGCAATCCTTTTGTCGAAATTACAGACACAGAGATCCAAAAAGTTCCTAACAAGCAAGAAATAGTTAATAGGAACGACCTTAGGATGCCCACGCTGCCCAATTTCAGATAAATACCGGCTACTACTATCATCTTTATTTGGTGTATTTTCTCGATTGCTTTATCTTAGCAAAAGAAAAACCTTACTTGTAAACTTTTAAAAGTTCGTTCACGGGCCAGCAGGAGGCACAGTGTTTAGGGCGCTGGATTCTCACATGGCAAAACCTCAGTTCAGGCCCCAGACCTGGCGGCTTGCTTTCTCACTTTCTCTCTCTTTCTCTGTCTCTCTCTGGCCAAATTAAAATAAATGAATAAATAAACAAAATTAAAAATAAATAATTATAAAAAAAGTTTCTAAAGGAAAAATTAACCAAAAATGAGAAGACAGAGTCAGAGACAGAGACAAGAGAGAAGGCTTGAAGGGCTCCCGACCACCCGAGTTTGGGGGCTGGGTCAGGAGGGCATATGTGATTTATGTGATTTATTTATGTTCTGTCTTCCCGCACTGGAATATGCACATATACTAGGGGCAGGGATTTTTAAGTACTTATTATTATTATTTTCTTTTTAAGTTTGTCATAGGGCACGTGCACTCACCAGAGACAGAGAGAGAGAGAAAGTGAGAAAGCGAGCCACCGGGTCTTAGACTTGAACCATAGATGGCCATACGGGACTCCAGGGCCTTAACCACCACACCACGTGGCCCCAGGGCAGGGATTTTTCAGCTACTTTGTTCCTGCTATATCCCCACTGACGACAATAAAATAGTGCCTGGTTCAGAGGAGGTACTCAATAATTACTTACTGAATATGAATACCTTTAAATCCTCAACATGAGTTTAAGAGACTGTGAAAGGGATGAGTAGATGGTGTAATGGTTACCTTGTGGACTCACCCACACGGCCGACCGTGGTTCAAGTTCTGGACACAGAGGCTTGAAAGTCATGCCAGGCATGTGTGTGGGCATGTCCAAAATCTCGAAAGGAGAATGGAGAAGGGACTGCGGCTATCTCCCTTGGGGGGTGATTTTACTTTTTCTCTCTGCCCGCGCCCTACAGCAAAAGTCTCTCTTTGGGGAAAAAAAAAAAAAAGATGTTACAAAGGACAGCAAGTGGCATGATACATGCGGCGCTGGACTACCACATGGCTTCCTGCGGTTCAAGTCCTAGACCTAACAGCTTGCTGTGGTACTTTCCTTCTCTCTGGTCTGTCTCCCTCTGGTGATGAGATGTTCTCTGTAACAAATTAAAAAATAATACTACTAGATAAAATTAAATAAATAAACTCTTTATGAAAAGAAAAAGAGGGAGCTGGCGGGTGGCATGGTGGTTAAGGACGCTGGACTCCTGCATGGCCGACTGCAGTTCAAGTCCTGGACGTGGCAGCTTACTTTTTCGCTTTCTCTCACTCTGTCCCTCTCTGGTCCAATTAAATAAATAAATAAATAATGTTAAATTAAGTGCACGCGCCCTATGGCAAAAACCTTTCAAAAAAAAAAAAAAAAAACTAATTCTTTAAAAAAAAGAGGAAGAAGGACTAGCAGTTGGTGTAACGGCTATGTCGCTGGATTCCCATGTAGTCGACCACAGTTCAAGTCCCGGATCCAGTGGCGTAAACTCACGCCTGGTGCATGTGCATATGTGCCCCAAGATCCCAAAAGGAGAATGGAGGAGAAGGGACTGTGGTGTGGCCATCCCTCCTGGGGGCTGATTTCTCGCTTTCTATCTCGCTGTCTCTGTCTTTCTGGCACGTGCACACACCCTATAGCAAAAACCTCCTCCCCCCCAAAAAAGAGGAAGAAAGGTGGTTAAAGGTCAGTCTAATCAATCTAATGAAAAACCCCTTTCTGCTTCTCTGATTTTATAGCTTTACTTTAATTCTCCCCTTTAAATGATTACTCTCGTGCAGATCCATGTGCCTCCGGCATTAAAAAAAAAAATAGAGGCCAGTCAGTGGCACGGCCATTAATGAGACACTCCGCAAGGCAATCCCAAAGGAGGTTTCCAGTTCAAGTCAGGAGACCTCCCTGAGCACGCAGGGCACACACCTATCCACGGTCTCAAGCTCGGGGTGGATTACAATGTGACGAGACCCTGTTGAGGTGCTGTCTCTCTCTCTCTAGCTCACAAAATAAATAAATATAAATTAAACCTCACGGGGGGGAGGGACCAGCAAATGGCATGATTACATCATTTGACTCCCATGTAGTCTGACCATAGTTTGAGTTGCAGACCCGGCAGCTTGAAAGTCATGCCGGGCACACGTGTGTGTGTGTGTGTGTGCGCGTGCCCAAATCCCAAGAGGAGAATGGAGAAGGAACTGCGGCGCGGCCATTTCCCCCAGGGGATGACTTCTCGCTTTGTCTGTCTTTCTGTGTCTCTGGAGAGTGCACCTGCCCTATAGTAAAAATCCCTTCATGAGGAATGAAGAAAAAAATTATTCTCCTCCTCTTCTTCAAACTTTCTTTTTTTCCACAAAACCTTTTCAAATTGGCTAATATGCGTCTTGCCCAAACTAACCTACAAGGGACCAGGAGATGGCGTAGCGGTTACAATCACTGGATTCCCATATGGCCGACCTCGGTTTGAGTGCCAGACTTGGTGGCTTGAAACTCACACCGGGCGCATGTACATGCGTGTCCAAGATCCCAGGAGAATGGATTGCAGCATGGCCACCTCCCCTGGGGGGTGATTTCTCACTTTCCTTCTCAATGTCTCTGTCTCTCTCTCCAGGGAGCACACACTAAGGCAAAAACCTTTTAAAACTCTAGAAATGGGCCAGCTGGTAGCGTGGTGGACACAGGGCTAGATCCCACATGGCCGACCTCGTAGTTCCAAGACCTGAGCCCAGTGGCTTGGGAAACACACTGGTGCGTGTGCGTGGGTGCCCAAAATCTCTAACGGAGACGGAGAAGGAACGGCAGTGTGACCACTCCATCGGGGACGCTTTCTCACTTCCTCTCTCTGTCTCTCCAGCACATTCATGCATCCTAGTAAGTTTAATTAATAAATGTTAAAAACCACCTGGGCTATGTACTTTTTAACACCTCAAGGGTAACATTTCCCAAATTTAATACATCATCCTTTTCATCCAAACATGCCTCTTGTGACTTTCATACTGGTTACTAATTCAGCATTCCCAGGCAACCTGGACTTGACAATTTAAACCCATCATCTGATTACCCCTCGGAATCTCTCATCTGATCATGTGAAAGCGCTGTATATTTATTGCCACAAACAGCTAATTTAGACTCGCACTACCCAGAGGCTGACAATAGCATAGCTGTTCTACCCACTGACTCCCATGGACCACATTCTTAACAATCATGAATTCATCAGTGACTCCTCATAGTTAACGCATTCAATCGAATTCCTTAAGCTAGAACCAATGGCTTTCCACAATATATTATGTAAGCGCCAACCAGCTCTCGCTCCTGCTTCATCTCCCTCCTGTCCCGGCAAGTACCCTGCGTTTACAGATAACTTCCTTTCCTCTGCGCCTTTGTTCAGGAGCATCCTCCAGCTGGAACATGGCCCTCCACAATCCTCATAGTTTCACTGAAACCCAGTCTAAACATGAAAACTCAGCTACTATGTCCTTTAACTCTTTCCTGACTCTCTCCACCCGAGATAATCGATCTAAAGGATCTAACTGTAGGAGAATTGCAATCCTCAGGACAGCAGGTGGCATGGTGGTTAAGGGCGCTGGACTCCCACATGGCCGACCCTGGTTCGAGTCCTGGACCTGGCGGCCTCCTTTCTCGCTTTCCCTCTCACTCTGCTTGCCCAAACTAACCTACAAGGGACCAGGAGATGGCGTAGCGGTTACAATCACTGGATTCCCATATGGCCGACCTCGGTTTGAGTGCCAGACTTGGTGGCTTGAAACTCACACCGGGCGCATGTACATGCGTGTCCAAGATCCCAGGAGAATGGATTGCAGCATGGCCACCTCCCCTGGGGGGTGATTTCTCACTTTCCTTCTCAATGTCTCTGTCTCTCTCTCCAGGGAGCACACACTAAGGCAAAAACCTTTTAAAACTCTAGAAATGGGCCAGCTGGTAGCGTGGTGGACACAGGGCTAGATCCCACATGGCCGACCTCGTAGTTCCAAGACCTGAGCCCAGTGGCTTGGGAAACACACTGGTGCGTGTGCGTGGGTGCCCAAAATCTCTAACGGAGACGGAGAAGGAACGGCAGTGTGACCACTCCATCGGGGACGCTTTCTCACTTCCTCTCTCTGTCTCTCCAGCACATTCATGCATCCTAGTAAGTTTAATTAATAAATGTTAAAAACCACCTGGGCTATGTACTTTTTAACACCTCAAGGGTAACATTTCCCAAATTTAATACATCATCCTTTTCATCCAAACATGCCTCTTGTGACTTTCATACTGGTTACTAATTCAGCATTCCCAGGCAACCTGGACTTGACAATTTAAACCCATCATCTGATTACCCCTCGGAATCTCTCATCTGATCATGTGAAAGCGCTGTATATTTATTGCCACAAACAGCTAATTTAGACTCGCACTACCCAGAGGCTGACAATAGCATAGTTGTTCTACCCACTGACTCCCATGGACCACGTTCTTAACAATCATGAATTCATCAGTGACTCCTCATAGTTAACGCATTCAATCGAATTCCTTAAGCTAGAACCAATGGCTTTCCACAATATATTATGTAAGCGTCAACCAGCTCTCGCTCCTGCTTCATCTCCCTCCTGTCCCGGCAAGTACCCTGCGTTTACAGATAACTTCCTTTCCTCTGCGCCTTTGTTCAGGAGCATCCTCCAGCTGGAACATGGCCCTCCACAATCCTCATAGTTTCACTGAAACCCAGTCTAAACATGAAAACTCAGCTACTATGTCCTTTAACTCTTTCCTGACTCTCTCCACCCGAGATAATCGATCTAAAGGATCTAACTGTAGGAGAATTGCAATCCTCAGGACAGCAGGTGGCATGGTGGTTAAGGGCGCTGGACTCCCACATGGCCGACCCTGGTTCGAGTCCTGGACCTGGCGGCCTCCTTTCTCGCTTTCCCTCTCACTCTGTCCCTCTCTGGTCAAATTAAAATAAATAAAGTTAATGAAAATAATTCTTAAAAATATAGTAATTGCAATTTTCTAAAAATCAATGATCACATTTGAGTTCTTTATTGCTATCATCCCTCCCGTAACAGCGTGCTTTTCTGCACACAGAACCCAAGTTTCACCCCTGAATCTTCCAACGGGCAATACTTTAGTCTGTAGATACATTTACGGGTTTCTCCTAGCTTCTTTTCCACGACCCTTGCTCTAATATGCTCTAATTTGTCCACGAACAGCTAACGTTTGTTTAGACTCGGACAATCATTACGTACTTCGCCCCCAGCACTGTTCGCACCATCCCTTCTTTCGGAAACGAGGAAGCCGAGGCTTAGCCCGGGCGGATGCGCGCACGGGATCCCGCCCCGGGCCCGGACCCCGCACCGCGCCTCCCCTGCAGCGAGCCGGCTCCGCTCGCTCCCGCCCCGTTCCCGGGCACGCCAGCCTCCCTCCACCGACCTACCAGGCCCCAGGCTCGCGTTCCTCTCGGCGCCCCGCGTCCCGCTCCAGACTTCCCTCCCAGAGCCCCGCCGCTCCAACCCCGGAACTACACTCACCACCGGTCTGGGATCCCAACCGAAAAACAAAAGTCAAATCTGGGAGCGCCGCGGCGCCAATAAGAGTCCACGAATCCCCCCAATCGCGTACGCGTTTACAATGCGCTTCGGACTGCGCACCAATAGGAAGGCAAGTCACACGGAGAGCGGCGTGCGCCGCGCCGCGCAGAGGGCGCCGGGAAGTGTAGTTCGGCTCGCAGACGAGCAGGTCCCGTAACCGGCCCAAGCGGGGCTGGTGCCAGTGGGTGCTCGGAGCGCTAGTCCTGTGGTTCGAGCTGCTGGCCACCTTGATCTCGTGAAAAATAAAGCCCAAATGCGACGAATAACTGTGGGGGCACTGTGGCGTGTCATGTTACATACTTTATGTGGTGTAATTTAAGAGTTTGTCTCAAGAA